AAGTCATTGGGGGCACAACAACTACACCATGCCTCTGTGCATGGCTTTCATTCACTACGAAAAGGCATTTGGCTCAGTATTCCAGCAAGCAATAATTAATGCCTTGCTCAGCCAAGGCATAGACTCTGCTTACATAAACTTACTACAATCAATATAAGAAAAAACAATGGCGACAATTTGCCTTAATGGTATTAAAGTGGAAATCAACATAGAACGAGGTGTACAACAAGGCGATACAATATCACCTACCCTTTTCTCAGCCTGCCTTGAAGAAGTATTTCACAAACCAGACCAGGAAAAAGATGGAATAAAAATCACTGGCGCCTATTTAAATCACTTTAGATTTGCAGATGATGTTGTTCTCTTCTCATAAGACCCAGAAGAACTACAAAGACATATACAAGAGCTGCACAAAGCAGGAGAACCATTTGGCTTAAAAATAAACCTGACAAAGAGCCATGGATCTCAATGGAAGGTGATACAAAACAAAAAATTGAACGGCGTGTTAAATGTGGTTGGCAGGCATTCGGCAAGCTAAGTATAATTTTCAAGAACAGCCTCTTCCTATGTCTGAAGAAAAACGCTTTTGAGCAGTGCGTGTTACCTGCTCTAGCATATGCTGGTGAAACATGGACACTAACCTCACAATCGATACAAAAGCTATGAGTGGTGCAAAGAGCCATGGAAAGATTGCTCGGCATTACAAGACAAGATAGAAAAACCTATACATGGATTAGAGAACAAAAGGAAGTATTTGGTATCATCAAGAGAGTAAATGAATTGATTGTTATAAACAGAAATAAAACTCCAAAAACTATTAGGTTGTCTTCGTAGGCTACATTAAGCCATAAATCTGTAATTTACATTTAAGCCTGCATGTTCTAAAACCTTAGTCTGTGAAATTAATTCTTTATTCCATTGTGCAAACCCAGAAGTTTAGGAGAATAAAGTAAGCCATGTGTGATGATGTCATAGAAGTGTGACATCAGCCAGAACTCTTGGGATGAAAAAGAAGCAGGGAATAATTCAGTTTCTACCAAAAAAATAATAATAATACTGTGATATTATGAATTTTATGATGTTAAATGAATTTGTTGATTAATGTAAAGTTCCATATGTAGTTAGAATCCACACAGAGATATGCTTATCTTAGAAACACCATCCATTTCCCCTTACTATCTTGCATGAAAATTAATACTTACTATCTTACTAATACTTACTAAATTACTATCTTGCATGAAAATTAAGCCCTTATTAAGTGTAACTTTTCTAAAACATCTTGTTGCTCAGAACTGGAAATCTATATTGTACAGCATTAGTTTCTCACATTCTGCTCCATTAAATGAATCTTTTCTCTGTAGCTGAAATGCTACATTTTGAAATTAATGAGAACAAGGATGATTATAATCCTGTTAATTGAGAAAAATAGCTAAAATACTTATTTGCATTTTTAACTGCTATTTTCTGTCTGCTTACACAAATGTTCAAACGTCAGGAATATACTTTATAGAATGATAAGCATGCATTCAGAGTTTTGTTGTTCTAAGATGTTTACTGCTAAAGTCATCTTTCTGGGATTCATCAACTTGGTGAAAACATCTGAACAATCATTATTGATTACCAAAACTTGATTTTCAAGTTTTAGAAATGGCTGAGGAACAAAAGACATCCATGTTCATGCATTCTGTACAACTGATAAAGCCAAAGAGTACCAAAAAGAAGTTGTAGCACTATGATGGGATATATAGTGTTATTGTGGAGTTATATTATTGTGTAATATATGGATTCAGGATGTATTACTGCAATGAATACAAGCAAGCAGTTTCACAAAAGCCAATCATAAAATTATCTATCATCATCATCATTTTAGCCATTGTCTATCCACTGCAGGATGAGGTCTTCTTCCGCATGTTTCCAACAAATATGGTCCTAAGCCTTTTTTTTTTTTGCCAATTTGGCCCACAATACTTGCTGATGTTGTTGATACATCTTGTTTTAAGTCTCTTTTGTGGATGTTTTGTATCAAGTGGTGTCCATTCTATGACTGCCTTGGTCCATCTGCCATCAGTTCTTCCTGCTATGTGACCAGTTGTTATTCAAAAGTAACAACACCCACGAAAGAGAAAATGCCAAATATCGTAGTGAAGGAAGTATCAAGTGCCATAAAATCAATGAAAAATGGCAAAGCTCCAGGAAATGAATGTGTTACGGTTGAAATGTTGAAAACATTTGAAATGCCTCAGAGAAGAAAAAATACAAGACAAGCTAGAAAGACCTTCACATGGATTAGAAAACAAATCAAAGTATGTGATATCATCATGAGAGTAAAGGAATTGAAAATTATCTATAGTGTACAATAAATCTGATCAAAGTTTCACAATTCATCTAAAGATGAATTCAATTAATTAGTATTATTTGGGTATTTATTTATTAGATTTTTTTATCCCATCTTTATGTCATATTTCTTCAGACAATTTGCCCTTCCTATGAAAGAACCCACAGGCCTATAGGAAGCAATCTAGATGGGAGCATGAACCAACTGGTTTACATGAGAGCTTGGCTTAACAGATTCTTACATCAGAGCCGGAAAAAAGCAAGTGAAATTGCAGCAGGTCAGAGTTTCTTTCTCTAACATAGACTTTTTTTCTGTTGTTCACTCCCTTCAAGGCTAAACTGTCTCACTTTTTTCAGTCTCTCATATAAATCATTAATTTTAAAAAATATTAAGTTCAGGACTGAATATTTTGCTCTTTTCTATTTATTGAGGATTGATTGACTGATTGAAAATTTATATAGCCACTACTTTATGGATTATAATCCTAGGTGTCTTACAACAACATATAACTCACAAAACTCCACAATAACACTATATATCCCATCATAGTGCTACAACTTCTTTTTGGTACTCTTTGGCTTTATCAGTTGTACAGAATGCATGAACATGGATGTCTTTTGTTCCTCAGCCATTTCTAAAGCTAGCTTCAACAACTGACATCTGCCTTCCCAAGCAGAACTCAAAACTATATTGAATAATTCTAAGCATTGTTTTATTAACATGTGAAATTAAGGCTATTATATGATAGCTTACACACTCTTTGAAGTCTTCTGTCTTTGGTATGGAATGATCCCTTTCAATCTGTTGGACACTATGTTGTTTTCCAGGTTTGTTGGCATAGTTTGGTTAATCCCTCACAGAGTTCTGTTTTATTGCTTGTTATGGTCCATCAATTCCTTTAGCATTCCAACTTGACCAGATTGCTGATATAACTTCATCTTCTAGTTCTAGAGATTCTTGCAAGTAGAGAATATCTTCTAAGATATTATGAACATTGACATCTGTACTGTGCAGAATTTCAATAAGCTCTTTCCATCTTTGATATAGTTTCTTTGAATCTATTACTATCTGTCTATTAGTAGATACCAGTTCAAGTTGGAACCTTCTTCTGAGTTCAGAGATCTTTTGGTAAATCTTGGGTTTTTTGTGTGCCTGCTTATATCTTTCATGTCTTTACGGATGTCATAATACTTCTTGTCTCCTCTAAAAGCGCTCTGCAATTCTTTGTTCATTTCCTTCCTTTGATCTTTATTTTTCTTGGTTCAGGCTTCTGTTTTGTTCTTCACAATTTCCATCATTTCTTCCAACATTCAATTTGCTTTCTTCTGTTTCTTGGTCTTTGAGCAGTCTCTTTTCACATTCATCCTGAAACATTTTCGGTTTCATTCTATAGTTCCTCTCTATCAGTGAAGATCAGGACTTTAAAATAATTCTGTTGTTCAACTTGAAAATGGTGACACATGCTCAAGATCACATCATGCAAACTGGTTGGTTTTGTTCTTCTGTTTCAGCTTAACTTGTAATTTAAGGATAACCAATTTACGATCTGTTCCAAAATCTGCTTTTGGCTACATCTTTGCTCTTCTAACTGAGCCGTTAAATATGAGAATTGGTCATAAGCAGGGGTGAAATGCTCCCGGTTCAGACTGGTTTGGCCGAACTGGTAGTGATGGCAGCCGGTGGTTCGGAGAACCAGTAGCAATGGTGGCATGAGGCTCCGCCACCACCCGATCGTGATTACTTCCTGGTTTTAACCAGGAAGTAACCTGTTTTTTACCCTCTGCACATGTGCAGCAGGAAGCATGTGCACTTCCAAACTGGTTGGGAAGGTAAGTAGATTTCACCCCTGGTCATAAATAACTTGGTAACTGAACATGGGCTCCAGAAGCACAAAAAAATTGAACTGTCCTTCACTCACTCCCAAAAAACCGACAAGCCAAACATCATTAAAAATCCAAGTCTAGATAGAGACCCAATATATATTTAGAAAGGATTCTTAAGCTAGCACACACTCACCCCAGTACACTGGCTGGCTAAACTAGGTTGCTCATAATTGCTAATCCATATTACCTATGTTTCTTCTCAGACTTTAGCTGGCCTAGAAGACTGCAAAAAAGAATTGGTTGAGACTTCAGCCTTTTTCATTCTTAGACTGAATGGGCAAATTTAATCAAGTATGCAAAACGTCACAAAAATGGGGGAATGCAAATATTGTGCTGTTGCTGTTACATCTTGGAAGATCTGGTCAACTTCTAAAGATAGTTGAGATTGCATTGTGAATTGTTTGAGATGACTTAGACAATGTCAAAAACTTCCATTTCCAAAGAGCATCCAGATCATTTATCTCCTTTTTGCTATTTTTTTTTTTTAATTTCACTGATTTTCTACCCAAACTAGCTCAGCCTAAAGTCTTGTTTTAAATCCAAACATTGGTTTGTCAATCAAGGAGAAATCCTTTTAGGGAATGGGCAAGCTTCACAAAGTAAATTCTCCGACAGCAACAGAGGTATTAGCAGGATTTATGTATGGGCAAGGATTTCATGCTGAAAGGGCAGCCAGAAAAGGAAGAGGCTTAAAGAGGACACGATCTGAAACTTGACCCTTCTCTCTCTGTCTCTCTCTCTGTCTCTCTGTCTCTCTGTCTCTCTGTCTCTCTCCCTCTCCCTCCCTCCCTCCCTTCCTTCCCCCCCCTCTCTCTCTCGTATCTCCTTCAGGTTTGGGAAATGGATCTGTCCTGGGATTTCCTTTCAAAACTGACTTGTAACCTGCTCTTAGGTCATGTAGAATACCAACGATATCATCCAGAAGCTTGTGTGTGTGTGTTTGCATGCATGTATGGGTGGGTGGGTGCATTTGGATATAGGGGGAAGCAAAAGGTGCACAGTGTTTCTCTTTAGAGACAGTATAATCAGTAGCTATAAGGGAGAAGAGGCAATGATCTGATGGGGACTATGGAGTTTCCAAATGTTCATAGTGCAGTTGCTCTACAAATGCTTCTTGTAGTCCAATCTGACAAGAGACACACCACTGCTGTGCAGAAGCTGCGGGAAGACAAACAGGGAAGAAGCCTTGTCCTACAGCAAAATCAAGGTAAAAAAAAATTGCATTGACTGGGGAGTTTGCAAGGAGGGCTAATCTGTACATCTCCTTTAGCAAGTATTATTTTAGCAGAATGAGGGGATTGGGGAATCAAAGGGAACAAAGCAGGTTGGGGTATTTTTTTGGTTGGTTTGTTTGTTTTGTTTTGCATATATATCTGGATAAACAAGAGTTTAACCAAAAGGGGGAATATTTCTTAGTCTTAGCTCCTTTCACTTCTTCCTTTCAGTTTTATTCTTTTCTGCCAGTCTTTGGATGGAAGCTACAGGTAGTGTGACTGCTGTTTTAATAGTGTGTAAAGCAGCACATGGTTCTCTGAATGGCAATGCAGCTGGGAGCAATACAAGCATACAGCACAACACAGGGCTAAGTGCAAAGGAACGCATTGTGGCTATTTTTGCAAGGATTATGAATGCAGATAGTCCTAGCTCAGTGGGAGATTTTATCAGAGCTACTGGATAGGCACTGTAATTTTTTTTTCTATATCTTTTTATCTACCATCTGGATTTTTGCAGCACAGGCCTGATAGTCCTAGATTTTATAGCGTGAGATTCTGTACCTCTAAAGTATGATGCAGAAATCACCCTTAATTTGCAAACAAAGCCACTGAGAGAACAGTCTGAAATGGACAATGATTCAGTAATTCTATTTCCAGCTGCTGCTATAATAAACAAAGAGAAGAAATATTTCATGTGTCTATATAAATATGACTGTATTAGTATGCATAGTTGTGATTAATAAAAGGGTATCAGAATAAGACATTTATAGCTTCATTCAAATCTAAAGCCTAGATTGTGTTTTGCAGAGGGTATAAATTTTAATAGTGACTTAGCAGATTTTATAGTTGCTGCTGCTGCTATTTTGATTTTGGAATGAATTAGACAAAGCTTTTATTCCTATTTGTTAGTACATGAATACTATTCACTGATTAAGTGACATGCTACTGAAGTTTATACAGGTTTCCCATATTATTCATTTTACTTCATAATAACTTTCTGGTAAAATAGTTTAAGGTGAGAGGAAGTCCAAAGTCAAGTTCATAATTGAGCAGTAACTGGAACCTTATTTTCCCTTTCCTTAACCATTAAGTCATATAGGTTCCTAAAGCTTGTCCTTCTATCCATCTTATTATGGAGGGGTGCACAGTTTCCACAGGGTACAGTAAAAAAAAAAAGTATCACTTAAAAAACAGGTAGAGCTTTTATTGCAGAGTTGTGGTTGCCATCTTGGCTTTTTTGACCATACCTAGTAGATACCTCTGTAGGGGTGATATATGTTTAAAAAGAATTAAATCATGGATGGCAATTCAGTGATTTCACCAGAGATAATGTTGCTGTTTTTTTGTTTGTTGTTGTTCTGAGAAAGAAAGAGAGAGAGAAGATGATAGACAGAACAGAGAGATGGAGAGAGAGAGAATATTTGAAGGGTGGAGGCTGGTTACACAAATTGAGTTTATTTAACCCAACAGAGCCTTAACATAGGGATTCTGTTCGTAACCGGACCACCAAACTTGTAAGCGAACATGTGTTCACACAATGCTACATTTGGTGTGCACACGCAAAACTATCCTCCCTCCTGCCCCACCTCTACTACCTCCCCCAGGCTGGAAAGTTTTGCCTTAATACCTTTATTTTTAAGATTAACTTTGCAAAAAGTAAAAATTTAACACTTTAGAATCACAGAAACAAAAGCACCAACAATTTGCTGCTGAATTTCAGCAACATAACTTGCAAAACTAAGGTTGGGCCCTTGGGCTGGTCATCCCATCTTTTATTAATCTTTAGTGGGACCACTCTTAAATCACCCATGTATACTTTCAGACATGCAGTTATGTATGATTATCCAAAAACTGAGTAAAGTTTTGTCCTTTGTCACACTATTAAAACCAGAGTAAGGTGTCTTTCCATGCAGAGTTCAAACAGCTGTGTTCCTAAGACACCTTGTGTGATTGAAAGGCTTCTCCAGTTACTTTTTTGTGTTTTGTACAAATATATTATCTACAGGGCTAGGCACGGCTTCTCTTGTGGATATAAGCATAGGCTATGCACACAAACACATGTGGAAACAACTGGAAAACATAGAGCTTTCTGAAGGATGTGAGTGCTTTAATTGTTCAAAGAGAATGCTCTGCTCACATCATCTCTTTCAAATATCTTGCATAGTCCTAAACATTTTTTAATCCTTGGTAGTACAGTGGTTTAAAGCACGCTGTTATTAACACAGCTGCCTGCAATTACTGCAGGTTCGAATCTCTCCAAGGCTCAAGGTTGACTCAGCCTTCCATCCTTTCTAAGGTAGGTTAAATGAGGACCCTGTTTGTGGGGGCAATAAGCTGACTTTGTATAAATATACAAAAGTATGAAGGCTATTGCTTAACACATTGTAAGCCGCCCTGAGTCTCCAGAGAAGAGCGGCATATAAATCAAATTAAAAAAAAAAATCCACCAGATAATTAAATGGTGGAATTCACAGCCAAAATTATGTCAAAATGTTAGCACATGCGTGAATGAGATGGCAGTCTCTGAATTTGATATCTAAACAAAAATAAATAAATGATGTCAACTTGCAAATGGGACGTTGTGTAGTGACACAAGTATTGATTATGATGACACGCATGTTGACATTTGTTCCCCTCTACCCCTCTGAACTGCTCATTGTACCAACAAAGACGGTTTTCAAAGCAGACCAGTTAAATTCATCAAGAATAGAGCTATCGATGGCTTCTAATCTTCATATTTTGAATCTTATCTCTGGAATCAAAAGCAGCATTCCTTAAGTGCCATTTGATAAGGATCAACAGTGGAAAAGAGCCATAACCTTCTTGTGAACTTCCTGAATGCTTCTGTTAGCCACTCCATGATGCCATCTTTCAGAGTAGGGATCATAAGCAGGAACCATCTCCTGTTGTGGTGATAGATTTATCTGTGTAATGATGCTTTGTCCTGGCTTTCTCTATGCTTTGCTGTTGGAGAAGGTTCTCCATAACTCATGGCATAAGGAGGATAGATTTGTGATTTTATTTATCACAAATAAAATTGTGGTTGCCTAGCCATTCCAGTGACAGTGTAAATAACTAATGAAGAAAGGCTATAGCAGAAAGGCCTTTAGTAGACAAATCTTCTAAAGTCTTCACATGAAGGGAATTAAAGCAATCAGCTAAGAATGATTCTATATTCTGTTTTCTATTCTACTAGTAAACAGGTAGAGGAAGCAAAATGCTGGTTGTATATAATATGAACAGACTGTTGGTTTGAGGCTGTTGTTTATAAAGAAACTGTATTGCTTGCAGTGTATCAAACCATTTTGATGTTCCTTCAGCAGCTGATTCAGCCATCGCTCCCTGTGGTCTGCCTGGGTCGGCTGCAGCAGGCAGGATCAATCAAAGCATGCCAGGCTATGTGTGTTTGTTGCCAAACAAGGAAAAGCCACAGCAATGGACACAGTGGAAGATTTTCCCTTGAGCCAACACATTTCAGAAATGGTCCTCAGGGAGATTCTGTTATTGTGGTTTCTTGCCAGCCTTTTGATTACGGATAATAAAATCTAATACAACAACACCAAGATACCTTCTTTCATGCCTGGTGGCTATGCCCTGAAGCGAAAAAGTACTGGACCAAGATGCAAGGTTGGCTAATAAACTGTCAAATTGAGCTAAATCTGGAAACATTTTTCCTGGGAATATTAAAAACTAAATTTGATTTAAAAAAATAAGATATCTGATCCTACACATACTAACAATGGCTAGAATTGAGTTCATGCAATATTGGAAGGAACGCAACATACCACCAGAGGGATTGATCATCCAGAAAATATATGAATGTGCCGAAATGAATAAACTTACCCTAGAGTTAAAAGAAAAAGATGATTTGGAATATTACACGGTTCGGGAAAAATGGTATAGGTGGATAGACAACAGAAAAAAAAATAGGTAATATACACAAGGAATTTGAGGAATAGACATTAAATGTATATATATATATATAGGTTCAATTTATATGCCACCCTTCTCCGGAGAGTCAGGGCGGCTTACAATGTGTTAAGCAATAGCCTTCATACTTTTGTATATATCTGCTTAGTAGGGCTTTCGGCCCCCACTAAGCGGTGTTCTTTTTTATACAAAGTCAGCTTATTGCCCCCACAATCCGGGTCCTCATTTTACCTACCTCGGAAGGATGGGAGGCTGAGTCAACCTTGAGCCTGGTGAGATTTGAACTTGCAGTAATTGCAGGCAGCTGGTGCTAGTTAACAGCACTTTAGTCTGCTGCGCCACCAAGGCTCTTGTTGTATATAATATATATATTACATGAATTGTTAATCCAAAGTATAGAAAAATGACACTGTCTGTTGACTATGTATTAGAGTTATGAAAAAGAAAAACTACAATAAAAATTATTTATAAAAAAAAATCTAATACAAACTAAAGTTAAAGAAAAAAAAATAGCTTTGGGCATCAAGTCACAAGAAGTAGGTACCAAGTTTACCAGGAACATTATGCAAGTTTATTTGTTAGTTTGATTGTAGGGATTTACGTCAACTTCCACCACTTTGTAAATAGTTCCCAATAATTTTAGTTGCATAATTACTTAATAGAAATCTTCATGCGCTTAGTATGAAGGTGTCAACAAATCAATTTTGGGTATTACGGTTTGATTACAGTACTTCTGAAGTTTGACACCATGAAGCAGCCAGTGCTCTTACAGTATTTCTGAATTCTCTGAAGTAATTCAGATTGAGCCATACTGTAGTTAAACAAACACATGACTGTCAGACGTTGCAATGATAATTTATCATTCATGGCCTGAGCTATGCCAGTCATAAGTTATGTAGTACCCAGAATGGAAAATGCATTTTTGGAATGCTGCAGCTTCTCTTCGATGATTATCAGTATACAGTTCTTTGAAAACATATACTGCTTAATGTATTTCTTTAGGGAGGCTGAGTAGGGATGTTATATTATTCTGTACTTTATTTTGATTTGTGCATTAAAATAT